CTAAAAAAAAAAAAAAAAAAAAGGTTTTGGACACAACAGGGTAGAGCCCCTGCCAGGTTTGTTTCTGCATTTTATTCCATTAGAAACATTTCCTTTCACTTCCTGTCCAAAAGATACAAAAGGAGGCTAGATAACTCCCCAAGTGAGGGCAAGTCCCCCTCTTAGACAGTTCTTTCAGGGAAATTTGCCCTCACTGTAAAATTTTGGATTTTCCACTTTCTGTCACAAGTACAAACAGAGGGGTGAATCTCCCCAATAAAGACAAATACAGTATTAAAAATTAAAAAGGTCTTGCCTAGAGATACACTTTTATACAATAACAAATTTAGTAATGTAAAAGTCATATCAAAACGTACACTGCAATAATTCAAAACTGTGCCCACAATAAACACATATTATACCGAACTGTAAAGGAATTGTCTTTTCAATTTTTCAGATACACATGTGAAAGAGATCAGTTAGATGCAAATATTATTTTGTGTGTGCAAAAATTAAACCCCAAAACAAAAATGTAATATAATGCACGGGTAGCTATGACTGTAACACAGCCTGAATATCAAACTTGTCTGCCTTTGTTTATCTGCATTACATGGGATATGCGATTAGTAAATTACACAAGAACAAAAATGAGATAGATAGATATATATATCTATCTATCTATCTATCTATATAACGACTGTTTCTGCGCCTTAATGAGCGTTACATTAGAGTAGCCCATACATTTGAATGGCCTGCAAATGTGCATGCACAATTTTCTCCAGCACACAGCAACACAGGGTGCATAGAGAAGTGCGTTTGGATGCCATTGGCAATGACGCACATAACAGTTACCGCAGTGCACTGGTGTTAATGGACCTTTACTGCCCCTTTTTATGATGCAAGTCTATGAGATGACAGACCTATTAAAACAACAGACAAAATCTGGAACAGCTGCCTATGGCAACCAATCAGCATCTCTCTTCAGTTTGTTCAGTTAAGATTTGAAAATGAGAGAGAAGCCGATTGGTTGCCATGCACAGCAGCTCAAGATTTTGATAAATTCCCCTTAATGTGTCCCTCTATAACTTACATGATCCCAACAACTAAAAAGAAAGGCACAGTAATTACAAAATGAGTGTTTGCGCCCTCTAGTGACAAATCTGTTTAATACAATGACTAAAATATTGCAAGCAAAAAGTAAAGTAAAAATGACTTTAGGTAAATATTACATAACACAAAACATGTGCTCATGGTATTTTACCTTCAAATTGCTTAAAGTGACACTAAACTCAGGAGTTAAAACTTAAAAATGCATTCAAGTACCTTAACTATTAACAATACTGGACCTTATTTGTGTATGACTCGGCTGTAGATCCTCAAATCATCTCTGAATTGGAGGGTGGCTACTTTTGTTCCCCATGGTCTCTGTGTGTTGTAAAGTAGTCATGGCTCCAAACTCACTCGCGTGTTGGTCTACAATCTCACGTTTACTAATTTGTATTGAGATTGTTGTCCATCCCGGGAGCGAGCTTGGAGTGGTGGCTTCTTTTCAACACACACACACACAGACCATGGAGGACAAAAGTAGCCCCCCTCCAGAAGGAAGGACAGTGTCCGCACCAATTCAGAGATGACTTGAGGATCTACAGCCGAGTGATATACAAATAAGATACATTTTGTTAATAGTTAAAGGTACTTCAAATACATTTTTAAGATTTAACTCCTGAGTTTAGAGTCACTAAGTGCCCAAGACGACAAGACTAGACTGAATGTGGACCCCCCCTGCTCGTCCCATACTGGCTTTTTCTTCTCTTGTGTGTACAATTGGTTCTCAACAGCTAACCACTCTGTAGGACTCGTGCGATCTGCTGCAGACGGGAGGCACTGTACAATACAATGACATCTGCCACCTCGCAGGCCGTTTGCAAGGAATCGCACAGCCTGTGGTTGCCTGTGGACAATCACACCTGGACACAACCAGTTGATATTGAGGTCCCGTCATCCACAGGTAATCACAGACACAATATAATTATGGCTTCAATGTACAAATGGTATTGAAAGTAACTAGAACTGATGGAAGAAATAGATAGCTGGTTAATACAAAGGCATGCTGTGGGTAATTTATCACAACTGGGGCAGGTAGAATCTGGAGCAGTTGCCCGCAGCAACCAATTAGCTTCTGATTTTCATTTTCAAAGCTTAAATGTGATAAAATGAACTGACAGCATTCTGCTACCTGCTATTCATACGCTAGCTGGTTTACACTCTGTATGCCACACTGAGGATCCAGCATAACACATGCAAATGGCGAGTGCTCATAGGTCAGCACAGTCACATGGCCATGCTGACAAACGAGAAGAGCTTCTTATTGGTCAGCATGGTGATATGGCCATGGCTCATGGGTCAGCAGGGTCACATGACTATGCTGACCAATGAGAAGTGGTTCTGAGTAGAAGTGCTTCCCTTTGGTCAGTGCAGTCAGGTGCTGACCAATGAGCACTCACCATTGCGGAGTGTTATGCTGGATCCTCAGTGTGAGGCCGCAATATGGTGTATAGACCGCATAAGAAGCTGATTGGTCACTATGGGCAACTGCTCCAGATTTTGTCGGTCTAGTTGTGATTCATTTCCCCCCATGATGCATCACCAGCCAATCTGCTTGCTCTAGTGGCAAACCTCTTGCTCACAAAACTCTTGAAGGAGTGTTTGTTTCAACTGATTATGATTGGAGTACAAGTATGAAAGAAGACAGTCAACATGCTGCAGGATTTGAAGACGATATGAGACAGACATCTGACTAAAAGGAAAACAAAATGTACCACAAAAGAAGCTCCTCCCCCTCCAGTGCATCTTGCAGTATTGTGCAGATATCGTCTGACCTGAAAAAAAAAAAAATGGGTGAATTTGTTTTCAATCTTTGCAATCAAACCATTAACAAATCTTTATATATAGAATGACTACTGCAATTGTGATTGGTCAATGGCATGCTGGTTGTGCTCCAGATAAGCAGCAGAGTGCACTGCTGACCTAATAATAAACTGTACAACCCCCTCCACCATATTTCTTTCATGGTCGTTGGTGACCTTCCAATGCCATTTACTACTGTTATGCAACTGCAAGAAATAGTTGCATCAACCTTCAGTCTTTCAAGGTAAGAATGGGGAATAATGTCTATTCGGGGACACCAGAATTTCTGGGAGATATCTGCCTGTCTGTGACCAGCAACAGTCTGGTGATTTCGGAAGTCACATAAGAACCACTTGTAGGGGCAGACTGGTCACTGGAAACCTAAACTCACATGTAGACACCCTCCCTCTCCTATAGCTCTGAGCATTTACTGGAGCCTGGGGCTTTCCTTCCAAATACACTTGTCTCGCCACGTTGTAATATCCAATACCCCATGTTAAGTGGTAATGCAAACTACTTTATCCTAGTCGTAGGACTCCATCCTGCCAAATGATGAAAGTAGAAGTGACTCTAAACTGAGGAGTTAAATCTTAAAAATACATTCAAGTACCTTAACTATCAACAGAAATGTATCTTATTTGTGTATCACTCAGCTGTAGATCCTCCAATCATCTCTGAATTCATACTGACACAGTCCTTCCTTCTGGAGGGGGCTACTTTTGTTCTCCATGGTCCCGGTGTGTGTTGTAAAGTAGTCACCGCCCCAAGCTCGCTCCTGTGATGAACTACAATCTTATGTTAAGTTTACTCATTTGTATTGAGATTGTAGGCCATCACAAGGGCGAGCATGGAGCGGTGACTACTTTACAACACGGCTCTCTGCAGGGACATGATGGAGAAGTGAGTGAGCGACGGTATGTGTTCGCTCACTTCCCGATCTTTTGAGCCGACCTGTGACAGTCTCATTGTCACACGTCGGCTCAAACTATGAGGTTGAGTGAAAAATCACTCCCCTCATAGTTCTCCTTTAACTCCTGAGTTAAGAGTTACTTTAAGTTTACCCCAGCACGCTGCTTTGGTGAGTGCTGAAAAAGAGGGAGGACGTGTTGCATTTTTGCGAAGAGCTATAACGTATCGTAACACGCTGCCATGCAAAGATCTATAAATGAAGTGTCAAATCAAATCCTTTTTTTTTGCAAAAGGAAAAAAGGCAAGCACTGCATTTTACAATGCATCAGTGGTGCACACCACACGCCTACCTGGTGTGAATGAGCCTTAGGCTGATGGGTGTCCCTGCTGATTGTTCATCCTGAATTGATCGTCCTATCAGATCACTACTGTTTCCCCCAAACAAGGCCAGCATTTTCAGGGCACAGAGTGTGAGCATACACCATGTTTATTGAAAAGACCTCCGGCTAGTCTAAAGGTGTCTGCAGGCATCAACGAAAGTATGCAAGATCTGCGTTACCACAACACACATTACATACATTGGTGCAATGAAGTAACATTCATGCTGAATGTCACCCCAACACACTTTGCTGGTGGATGTGCATTGAACCAATGGGGCAACACGGCACTAACGTGCACTGCGGTGTGCTCCCAGAAATAGCACGTGGACCTTTTTGAGTGTATTCATGTGAATGGGCTGCCTAAAGGGTCTGTCCACACCGCTGCATTGGTGTGCGTTTTATTTGCTTAGCGTTATGAAGCCCGTTCACCAAAGCTGCTACAAGCCACAATTTTTTAATGCAGAGCAATGCAGCACACAGATCCCTAACGCACAGCAATATGCAGCAAAATACACACCACAGTGGTGTGAAAGGGCCTGCAAGTATGGCTCAGAAGAGGGTTGGTATGTAGTAAGCCCTATTTGACTATGACAGATATTCCCTGCCCAAGACTTTTCAGGAGGAGAGTTAAAGTGACATTAAAGTCAAATTTTTTTCCCCCTCCCCCCATGTTAATGTTAGCACTTACCTTCAATGATGTCTCTTATTCCGATCTTCCTCTTCTTTCCGGATGTTTTCATCTGTCCCTCCAGCGGTGCGGCGGCTCTCCGATCCAGCGCTGACTCCTCTGTGCTTGCAGGCACTTCCGATCCAGCGGTGTCTGCATGCGGGTGCACACGTCCATAGACTTACCTTGCGCCTCTGCTCGTCTCCTGGCCAAGAATCGGAACAGCGCATGCGCCCGCCCCAAGATCCTTTGCGGCCGTACGAGCAGTTCCTGATTCTCGGCGCGGGATCGTGCAAAGAAAAAAAGGGTAAGTTTAAAACCGGTTTTAGCGTCTTTTTTTTTTTAAACTGTTTGCCTATATCTACTGCATGGTAGCAGTAGATATAGGCAAAAAAACGGGAGGGTTTAGAACCCCTTTAAGGCCAAACTCCAAGCACCAGAACTCTGGGAAATCAGCCCCACTGCAAGGGTTCATTTTGTAAATTCCCAGAGTTGTTCTTTATCCCTCGCAGCGCAGGGGTAGCCCCAATGCAAAGCTAGGAGTTTTAAAAAACATGATAGGAAAGGTAGTTTATCTTTCTGGCCATGTTACCCCTAACATGACACATGGTCAGATCGCAACCCCCACACCACTACTTACCTGAATCGCAGGGTTCTTCTCCCTGCAGGCTTTACATGTTTGAATTCTGTGCGGCAGTGCATGGCTCTACCCACACAGCCACATCTTCCATTCACAGATTCTCTGACAGGATCTGCGTATGGAGAAACAACAAGTCTCATCTGGTCTGGCAGCAGAGGGACTCAGTGAAGTTCAAGTGTAGTAACTTGCATTGACACTTCTTCCAATGTTACCAAATGTCCACACAGACATGTTCGTACGGACATGGACGGGAGGAACAGTCTGCAGGAGCCAGAGCATTGCACCTGTAATCCACTGATTGTGGTCACTATGCTTTACTGGCTCCCATCTATAAAAAAAAAATACATGCAAATGTTTGGTGTTCTTTTTATGAAGACATGAATGTATTTTTATTTCCAAAGGTGGAATTTGCTTTTAACATAGTAAGTGAAATTGCAGTTAGGCCTCCTGCACACCTGTGCCTGCGGGATCGCACTGGCTTTCTGTGCGCATTCCTGCAATGGGTGACAACACACATTTTGCTGATAAGTGCACTGCTGTGCCATTCATTCTTAAAAGCACGCGCACTGCAACAGATCATGCGTTGTGGTGTGTTGTGTTACATGTATTTTTCCTGAACTATTTTAATGCAGCAGGCAGACGCATCAATGTGCATGCATTACCGCAGTGCCCAGATGTGATCCTAATCTAAATGTGCAGTTACTTAATGAATACAAGGCCCAGAGGTGAAGTGAAAACAGAACCCACGACAAAACATCATATCAATCCAGAACCGAGTGGTTGCTATAGGCAACGCTTGTCCCAGTGCTGGAACTGCGTGCACAGCCAGTGCTGACGGTACAGGGAACAGAAAGGGAATAATGACCCGGTCACTGCACTGTACAGGCCGCATGTTGCACAGCGGTGAAGGTCGCAGTGACAGCCGGCGTCCTTGCCACGGTCATAGGGACACAATACGCTTTTTACCCTGCACACACTTGTCTCCATGCCCCCACTCACCGATCGTGTCACACCGGCCCGAAGCCTCGCACACAGGAGCATCGCTGCCTGAAAAACAACACCCGACGGCCCTGGCCACTAATAGAGACAGCCAGACAGCACCGGACGAGCGCCGAACACAAACACTGCGCTATTTCACAAGGACTCTGTCAGGATATGCAAGGCTAGAGCATTCAAACGCCGAGAAATCGCTGGGATCACGTGAGCCTCTTCAGCAGATTCTCTGTTGTGATTCCAGTTGTAGTTATAAAACGCCAGGCTCACGTTTTCCATTGTTCTCTATGTATTCATATCACCAAATTCTCCTACGTACTCTATATTATTGGTTAATGTCATCTGTTTTTAACCACAAAAGTGCAGGAAATACGTATAAAATTAATATTGCAAGCTATATGACAATACAAGTGGACATTTTGGGAACTTTACATGTCTGTACTGTATATATTCATTTCTGACACCTCACAATTTACAGCAAACATATTTTTAGAAAGAAAAGCTCCGCATTTTGTCATTAAAAAGAAGTCCTTGTGCTCCAGTGACTTTTCTGAGGCTGAGATTATATTATCAGTCTGATGCAGGCAGAAAGAAGCATTCCCTCAGTCCCCAGTGACCTGAGACGGCAGCATTTACATGGCATCCCTGTGCTAGCATCTCAGTCCAGGAAGTGGATGCTGATCCTGGAAAATACCTAAACATAGATGGTTCTGTTGTTATTAAACAAAAACTCAGGGAAAAATTATTCTTAACCCTTATAATTGGGCTACCCCCACACTGCTAGGCTTAGGTGCTCGTCTTTATCTAGGGTGTAAAATAAAAAAGTTATACTCACCTGATCCTCAGAGCCAACTGGGTCTTAGACCGCTCCTTCCTCTATCCCCGTCCGCTCCAGTGGTCTAAAGCTTACCACACATGTAACAAACTGATTGTACAATCCCTTATAGAGCTACCAAGTATGTAATGCAAAGACTTGACTGATTGGATATAAACTGTCTGGATAGAAACCGGGCGGCGAGTAATCACCTGATTGGCTGGGAAGCCCGATCGATGCTGATTGGCCGATATGCACATGTTGTAATTCCTGTGTTTAACGAAAAAAAAATGATTAAACAAGAAGGGGGGGGCGGGGTATGGACTCTGATGTGAGAGGGGTAACTCTCGTGTGAAAGGAGGGGCTCTGATATGAAAGGGGGGCTTCAATGTGAAATAATCCTTAGAATCTATACCAGGCAGCTATCTAGGACAGGGGCGCCCACAATTTTTCGTCTGGAGATCTACTATTCAAATGACGAGCTCAATGAGATCTACGAACGAAAAAACACCTGCATTCAGAGGCTGGAAGGGGCGTGGCGGTGCATTGAAGTCAATGGCACCTCAGCCAGGCCCCTCGCCCACAGTGCAATCGCTTGCACCCGGAACCCAGGCACATTAGTGCCTGCGTTCCGGTCCAGTGCGAACTGCAAAAATGCTGCGAGCACTATTTTTGTAGATCACACTGGACCGGAATGCAGGCACTATTGTGCCTGCGTTCCGCGTTGCGGGTGATCAAACTGTGGGCGGGGGACATGGCTGCGGTGCAACCCCATGCCCTCTCCCGCCCCTGAACGCTGGGAGTCGGCCGGCTTGCATTCCTAGAGGCGCCGGCGTCCTATCCTCCCTTGGTGCTCGTGTGGCCGACGTTGCACACGGGGAGAGGTGTCCCGCCCCTTTCCGTCTGCGGCATCTGACACATTTAGCCGGCAGCCGCACGAGCACCGCGGGAGCATAGCAGTAGCCAGCTCCTTTTGCACACGTGGCGAGAAAAAAAAAGTAGACAGTAGAAAGGCATCATGGCACACTCACAAGTCAGCATGTAAAAAAACTTGTCTCACCACTAAGGTCAATAACAGAGGTTTGGATACACGTCTTCTGCAGAAAATGTGAAAGCCGCACAGCCGCGCCAAGGCACCTCTTATACGGGCAAAAAAAAAAAAAAACCGCCCCCCCCCCCCCCCCCCCCACAGGCGTGTGATGTCACCCAGTGCCCTGCCTCCAGGATTTTTTTTTATTTTTTACTATTTCCTATTTAATTTTAATATTTTTTTTTACTGTTGGGGGGGGCTTCAGGGAAATATTAGGGGTCTAAACAGCCCCCTGATATTTCCCTTTTAAAATAGAAAAAGTAATTGAGGACACAAAGTCCTCAATCTCTTTTTCTGCAGCCTCTGTTCTAAATGAATGGAAAGCACAGATGCTTCCCATTCATTCAGAAAATATTTACTATCACCAGTTTCTGAATGGGGAGGGGCCTCTGTACAGAGTGCTTCTCCCCATTGAGAAACTCATGAATGAACAGGAAGTGATGTAAATCACATCGTGTTCATTCATAACTGGGGACACATAGTACTATGTGTCCCCAGTTATTTACAAACACTGGAGTGATCGGCTGATCGCTCCAGTGTTTGTCCTGCACAGAGGATTGGTACATATCATTGATCGTCTGCCGCTCGGCCACGCACAGAGGGGGGCTGCAACTTCTCCTCTTGATCCCCCCT